CGGCTCGGCCCGAGCTTTTGCTCGGGCTTTTTACGGGCCGAGCCGGGCAGGCTCATTTTCTCCCCAATATTTTTTTTTTTTTTAATATGGTTCTTCCCTCCTGCTGCCTTAAAAGGCAGCAGTTCACTGCCTTAAAAGGCAGCGATTTGCTGCCTTAATATAAGGCAGCAGCTTGCTGCCTTTTAAGGCAGCGAACTGCTGCCTGTTTTGCCTTAAATTTTAATTTTTTTTTTTATTAAAAAGCTCGCGAGCTCACGGGCCGGCTCGGGCAAAGCCCGTGTCCCCAAAATGAAGCTCGGCCCGAGCCACGGGCGGCCCGAGCCGGCGAGCCCGATTGCCATCCCTAGTGTGATCAAACATGTGCGCACTGATAACGGCCAAGAATTTTTAGCCCATAATCTTCAAACATTTTTCAACAATAATGGCATTCTCCATTAACGTACTTGTGTTGAAACACCTCAACAAAATGGTGTTGCCGAACGCAAACACCGTCATTTACTCAACGTTGCCCGCAGCCTTCGCTTTCAAGCTCACCTTTCCCTCAAATTTTGGGGCAATTGCATCCTCACTGCTACCTACTTAATCAATAGAACGCCTTCCGCTATCTTAATGCACAAAACACCCTATGAACTACTTCATCACATGGCTCCTTCCTATGATCATTTACGTGTCCTAGGTTGTCTATGCTATGCATCTACGCTACGTTGTGATCGTGACAAATTATCCCCTCGTGCCCGTCGGTGTGTCTTTATTGGCTATCCCTCAAATCATCATGGTTATCTTCTCTATGACTTAGACACTGCCACTACATTTATCTCCCGTGTGTCCAATTTCACGAACACATATTTCCTTTTTCCTCCCCTACTTCAGCACCCTCATCCACCATTGTCATACCCACTAATATTCTTGACATTCCTCACCCATTATCAGCCGAACCTCCCTTCCATACGACCACCAAATCTGCTACTCCGCTAGCCTCTCCTCCCCGAGATCCATCACCACCATCTCGCCCCACTCGAACTCGACACCCTCCCACTCACCTCCATGATTACATATGTCCTACCCTTCCACATATAAATGGCGTGACTTCATCTCCGCTACGGCCTTCTTCAGGTTTGTCCCACTCCCTCCATTCCTTTCTTAGCTATGAGCGATTTTCTCATAAACACCGCTCTTTCCTCTCCCATATCAGTAACATTGCAGATCCCACCTCATACACTGAAGCCTCACGTCATGCTCATTGGTGACAAGCAATGAACTCCGAAATCATAGCCTTAAAATCTAATGGCACTTGGTTCCTCACTACCCTTCCTCGTGGCAAACACCCTATTGGTTGCAAATGGATTTACAAAACAAAATTGAAAGCAGATGGCACTATTGAACGTTACAAAGCTCGCCTTCTGACTAAGGATTACACTCAAATTGAGGGATTGGACTATTATGACACATTTGCTCCTGTCGCCAAACTTGTTACAGTCCGCTGTCTTTTGTCCATCGCAGTGGCTAAAAATTGGTTCCTATACCAACTTGATGTGCACAATGCTTTTCTCATGGAGATCTCGACGAAGAAGTCTACATAAAACCCCTTCCTGGATATTGCAAAAAGGAAGAAACTCGTGTCTGTTGACTACACAAATCCATCTATGGCCTTAAACAAGCCTCCCGCAATTAGTTTTATAAACTCTCTTCAATTTTGCAAGTTGCTAGTTTTAATCCATCCACGGCGGACCACTCATTATTCACTCTTTCACGTGGTTCATCCTTTTCCGTGCTCCTTGTCTATGTAGATGATATTCTTTTAGCCGATGATGGTGACAACTTACTCCTTGATGTCAAGACTTTTCTTGCTAGCAAAGTCAAACTCAAAGATCCTGGTCCACTCAAGTATTTTTTGGGAATTGAAGTCCCTCGCTCACCTCATGGCATTTTTATTAATCAACGCAAGTACACCCTGGACATTTTATCTGACAGTGGTTATCTCGGCTCCAAGCCCCTTACCTTACCCATGGAACAGAATCACAAACTTCAAGTTGATGTAGGCGACATTCTAACTGATGCTAGCCTTTATCACCGATTGATCGGACATTTACTTTATCTCACAGTCACAAGACCTGACATCACATATGCCATCAACATTTTGAGTCAATTTATGCACTACTCACGACAGCCCCATCTTGATGCTGCCATTCGAGTTCTTCGCTTCCTCAAAAACAATCCAAGACAAGAACTCCTATTCCCAGCTACTAATGACTTTCAAGTCCGTGCTTATGCCGATTCAGATTCGGCTAGCTATCCCACTACTCGTCGCTCTACCACTGACTATTTCATATCTCTTGGTTCTAGACCTCCCTGCTGGTGTTCAAAGAAACAGTCTACCATCTCTAGATCTTTTGCTGAAGCTGAATACCGTGCCATGGCCAGCGTCACTTGTTAACTTATGTGGCTTCGTACACTATTTCATGACCTCCGCATCCTACATCCTCAGTCGATGCTTCTCTATTGTGACAATCAGGCAACATTACATATTGCTCGTAATCCCATCTTCCATGAACGCACAAAGCACATATATATTGATTGCCATGTTGTTCGTGAGCAACTTAAGTCAGGCCTCATCACCATCGCTCATGTTTCTAGCTCAACTTAACTTGCGGACATCCTCACCAAGGCACTTGGCATTGATCTCTTCACACAATTCATTTGCAAGTTGGGCATTAACAATCCCCATGCTCCAACTCGAGGGGTGTGTCAAAGATCCATGTATTTACTGTCAAAATATGAGCTGTATATTTAATTCCATTAGACATTTCACTTGTATAGGAAATTGCACATAATCAGGCTACTGCACATAATAAGATTGCTTATTGCAAATAATCAGGCTGCATATCTTTCTTTCCATAGAGTCTGTCATTATGCTTGTATAAATAGGTGGCTGTACATTACAGAATTAATACAGAAAATCCAATTTTTTATCACTTTACAGAATATGTAATTAAAAAGTATGAGAAATTATTGAATTTGCATACAAAATTATTTTGTTGAAAGAATGTACAATTGAAAATGAATTAGAAAAAATAAGCAGCAAAAAGTTGGGTTGGTAATTATATTTACACTACATTTTCTTTTCTATTATCTACAGTACATTTTAATTATAAGTAAGGTCGTCAATATTTTTTCACTTTTGAACATATGCCCTCAATTTTGTTGTAACTTTTTTCTTCTTAACTTTCGATTAGTTAGCACATCTCATCTCCGGTGTGATTTCTTGCCAAATATTTTGCTAGCGTACATTGAAATGAGGTCAAATATTTTATAAAATTTTTATGTGTTGTTTATTTCGTTTATTTTGTAATAAGAGCGTCAAATAAATCTTTTTATGTCCTCCTAACAATTTTTAGAAGAAAACTGTCGTATGAAATAATATATCAAAATGAATCGAATGTTGATGATAAGAATTTGGCAAAAAACGTTGTGAACATTACTCCAAAAATGAGCAAAGTTAGGAATAGTTATTGCAATGCTATAGTTGCCGACTACAAATAGCATTATTTGTAGTCGAAAGGTATTTATCCTAGAGAATTATTTTATTTAACCTTGGAGAGAATATGTTTTTTCCCTTGAATATAATAGTATTTCATTGCCGTTAGTTAATTACTTAGTGATCAAATATAGCATTTTTAAGTCGTTTCTTTTCTTAAAAAATGTACTTACGGAGGAAGCTGAAATTACAATTT